AAGTAATTATATTTTAAAGTTTTTTTATTGCTTTATTGCCAATTCTTCTGTCTATTCTCTAATTGCTCTTCCTTACTCATTATATACATTTTTGGCTTTCTATTTATGATGTAATTTATGGTGTAAATTACAGTGGAATTTACGGCGTAATTTACAGTGGAATTTATGGTGGAATTTACAATGGAATTTACAGTGTAATTTACGGTGTAATTTACGGTGTAATTTGAAGTGTAATTCGCGGTGTAATTTGCGGTGTAATTTGAATTGATTGATACAAATAAAGAAACACACAAAAATCAATGCGTTTCTAAAAGGAGACTGTGTTACCGGTGTAACAATACGATCGTCAGATCAAGCAAAAAGTATGGTACGGACAATAAAATGTCAGCATATTATTTTTTTTGCTATACTCAATATCTGAACCAATAGCTAACCTTTTCCGAAGTAAACACAGGTGGAAAGGAGCAAGTATCCTAGTGGTTTTTGTGGATGGATGTATCTTGGAAATCCAGAATTAAACCACTATCAAAGGTCAGGTGGAATTCCAGCTTTTCTAACTACGTTGTTGATACCTGTACTTGTAATCGATAAGAATATCTTAACGCCCGTAGTTATTATATGTATATAAATAAAATTGCACGCTGAGCATTTTCTATTAGTCACTCAACCTTTGGTTTACTTACTATCGATCTCAAATGATTGGTCGCTTAAAATTTTCACGTGATTGTTTTGTTGCTGATGGAAACGATAGGAAAATTGGAATTCCGTCTAGAGGTTTCTAACACAGGAACACTAGTGTACTTACGACTTTCTACCTCTGAAATACGGTGCACTTGTTATACTTTCAACCCATTAATTGTTGATCCAGCAGTATCTGACATTCATAGATAATAATTTTTTTTACGAAGGTAATGAATGCTCTTTGAAAAGTATATATTATACATGTAGTGGCTATTTTGCATAATTTTATTGGTTTAAAGTGATAATTGTGAGCTTTTGAAGAACAATTTTAATAAAACGGCGGCGGCGCCGTTGTGCAAAAAACAATATTATCTGATCTGACTATCTAACTAATCTAATTTAACACTACGTAACATGAAATTGTGCTGTCCGAATTGACTTCCTATCGCTATAATAATTTACTTCTGCTGATGTCTGGATCATGTACATTTGTTGGTCTCGTTATTGAAATTTAGTGTTCAAATAGTCATGGAAAGGTGCCTCAGAGAGTCAGCATAATTTCTTGATTTCAATTTGGGAATCGTTATGCTCCAAAAGTTATTTTGTGTAAAATGCAAGAGTCATGCTATGTTAAATGATAAAACTATTTTATCTAATTCCTGGGTGTTGCTCAACACCATTTGAAATCTCTCGTTTAATTATGAACAAGCCAGACATATTATGAAGCGAAGTTGATAAATCAGAATGTATCTCTTTATTTTCAATATCATCATGAGAAATTACATCTATGATTATTTTTTTGGTGGAATTGTGTAAAAAAAGATTAAGAAAAATATTGCATGTGGAATATCGAAATTCATACGCCAAAATCCGAATGCTTCTACAATATTCAAGCACAGAGTAAGGATCCAACTTACATGTATAGAATATAGTTAGAGGATTTGTCGACAATAAACAGATCATCTTTTATTAAGAGGTTTATGATTGACTTTCGTCCTTAGCTTTTTCCAACTTTAGTTTGTCTGACAAATAAATACCCCAATACGAAGAAAAAATATAGATAGACTTAAAAAATAATTTACTACTATTCGGATCTATCAATTATTGTTTCTGTCAGATAATATATGCAATATGCAAACGACAGTATTTTTCTTTTAGCTGAATACTAAAACTATTTCATTTTTTTATATTGTTGCATACATGTCCATTTGTCACAATTCACATAAATAAAAAATAACGATGATAATTAACCAATAGAATTCTCTAATGATATGTGTAAAGCTTAATGTAACTATTTTTGATACGTGATAAAGCTTCTTTAAATTTATTTTTATTACATATTATAATTTAATGTCTAAAAACTGGATCTTTTTATAATCGTTGTATGGTACAGGAACTCTTAAATCGACAATATGTTCTATAATGTTATTACTCAACATAGAGGCAAAATTTTCAAAATCTGACCGGTAACTTTGTTCTTTATAACAAGTTCTACAAAGTTACCGGTCAGATTTTGAAAATTTTGCCTCTATGTTGAGTAGTAGCATTTTAAAACATATTATCGATTTAAGAGTTCCTGCACCATATTATCGTTATCGATTATAATACTTCAAACAAAACTCGAAAACAGCAATATTTAATATATTATATTGTACTATACTATCTTATAAAGAAAATAAAGCTATACCGTAGATTCAAAAGGAAACCAAAAGCATTAACTAAATTCTATAATAGCTTGTATGCATGTATTTTACTTTGAATTTAAAATAAAAATGCTTTTATATTAAGTGATCAATTGAAAAATTTACATGCATAATGATTATTAAATCAAATAAATTAAGTTACATACTTTTTGCCTTGACTTTATTGAGATTTAACAACTTTGTTACAGAGATTGAGACCTTTCTTTTAGAAAGACCTTGATCTTTGTTACAGAGATTGAGACCTTTCTTTTAGAAAGACCTTGATGATTGTTCTTGACCATCGCAAGATCATTATTCACGATACTTTAGTAGATATTCGGTTTGGTACGTTACAATCTAATTATCGCTTATCGTTATTAAGTCAGTTCGAAACTTTCATTTTTATTTATCAAATTTGCTGATAAAAATATATAATTATTATTTTTTTATCAAGCGTATCTTCATCTTTACGCCAAGCAACAAGCTTGAATGAATGGCGTTGGGAAACTTCATGAGCCCTCAATATACCACTATTGCCTCCAACCATCAAGTTTCAATTTCAAGTACGCCAATTGAATATTGACAGTGATGTAATCATTTATCTACCTAACAGATTTCAAAAGACTCTATACAATTGTTGTTTGGGATTCAACATTAATGTTCATAAACAAATTATTTGTATTTATGTTAACAAAAGAGAATCTGTTTTCAATTACTCAATATGCTAAATCCATGTTGAACCATTCCAATTCTGGGAAGGAGATTTATTTTGTGTTTTTTTCAATATACAAATACAATACGTCTAACTTTAACAAGTAAAATTTAATTAATGCTAATATAAATTTTCTAACCCTGTTTTTTCATATAATATGTTCAGATTGAACTGATGGACAACCAGTCAATAGGCTTCAAATTTTGCATTAATTATGTTTAAAATTAAAAAACCTAAAGTTACAAATCGACAAAATGTTCACACAACAAAGTTATTTTATATTTGCTAGAATCACAGATTTCAGGATCCTTGGTTTTAGAGCAAATTTTTAAATAATAATTCAATTAAAAACATATGTTTTTTGTAATATTTTCAAATTATAATGAAATTATTAAACCACGTGAAATTTTTTCTCAAATTGGAGTTTAACTACAATAACTATTCAATTCAAAATCAAGGGCTACATTTGAACAATTTCATCATAAAATTATAATACAAAATCTTCCGATGGGTTGAAGTTTTATAGACTGAAATTGGCACATTAGAACAAGTTTATTAATTTGATTTAATATTAATAAAGATAATTAACTTGTACAAAAATGTGTATACGAAAAACATAAAAAATGGAAATTTTCGAGCTATAAATTTTTAACATAATGCTTTTTAAATTTTATTTTAAAGCTAGGGACTTTCAATTAGTAAAAATTTTTCCCACGCTTTATATATGAAAATTGAAATTGTCAAGTTATATATATTTCAATTAGCAATTTTTCTATGAAAAACTGTTTTAATCGAAAAATTTTTATATGGATTTCACTATGTAATTTTAAATCGGGTGTTACTTTTTGGGGGTGCTGTACATGTATTTATCATCCAAGACTATAATATCTGCCTGAGTGTATGGCATTCCATTTAACAACTCCGGCTTTTAAATAAAAATATAAACTAAAAATTTTACCACGATATTCCATGAAACGTCTAAATATCGATTTCTGGAACACTTCGTCAAACCGTGTTTGTGCTTTGATAATGTATGTTCTGTATTGTTGGGTATATCTATATCGATATAAATCAATCGCAAAAATGAACGAGTCTATCGCTATCAATAAGGACGGCGATAAGTTATGTTTTAAGTCTCTAGGAGATAAATATCCTATTCTAAATAAGAAGAAATGAATAATCTAATCAACTTCTAAATATAGTGGCTCACACATGTAACGGAACACGAAAATTGACTTTCTAGAATTTTTATTTTCATGACTATTAATTAGTTTGAACAAAATAAAAGAGTATTCATCTGAAACCTTGAAACCACTAATATTTTTTAAAATAATTTGACAGCAGATCATTTGATTAAATCAGAATTTACGATAAGTAAATTTTTCACATTGAAGAATTTTTCTATGACGGATTCAAAATGCGGTTGTAAAAGTTCAGGTTGGTACATTTGATAAATACATATCAATCTAATTAATTGGTTAGGAAACTTTATTTGAAAGATACACATGCTGTAACTGACACTGTAACTGAAAGATGCACATAATGTAACCGAAGGTACACATAATTCAAAGATGTATTCATAGTGGTATATGATAAATAAATATTCATGTATGCAAAATATACAGCAATATGGAAGAATCGATTTTTTTAATTATGCATATGATAAAAATTGTAACGTAATGTGACTAAAGTGTCCCTTTTGTAAAAAATTTCAATTTTAATTTGGTTAGCACATTTTTCACAAACTAAATACGTACGTATCATTCAAAGATGTCTTTGTAATGGTACCAGTACTAGTATTAATACATGCATAATAAAATTCAATATATAAAACCAATTGTAATGTAAAATTTCTTATAAATAAAGAAGCTTCATAGTTTCTCAAAAAATATTTCCAATACACTATAATCAGCTGGAGTTAAAGGTTAAGGAGGTGGAGGGGGACTAGTAGGTGTGGTCGGAAGCTTAATTGGAGATAAAGCAATTGGTGGTGCAGTCGGAAGCTTAACTGGAGGTAATGGGATCAGATGAGGTAAAGCAGGTGGTGTTGTGGTCGGAAGCTTAACTGGAGGTAAATGAGGTGGAGAGGGACTTGGTGGTATGGTCGGAAGCTTAACTGGAGAAAGTAAAGCAAATGGTGGTACAGTCAGAAGATTACCTGGAGATAAAGGAGATGGAGGGGAACTTGGTGGTGTGGTCGGAAAACATGTGCTGGAGCCTAATCCAAATAAAGCTTAACCGGAGGTAAATCCGAAAAAAATTCACTTTGAGATATAACTGGAAGGTTACCCGTAGATTCACTTAAGGTTTAAATGGCGCTTGATATGAAATATTCTATTTTTTTAAAAATTAATACATATATTATAGTGCGACATTTACGTTAATGTATATTTAGTTATTAGGGACCGTAATAATAGAAGGTTAATCCATCTGAAAACGATATTAAAGGTTTATATAGACATTGGATATGTTCTTCTTTTGGATTATAATATGTAAATGTTTATTATCACTTTATTATTAAATTATAAAAAGTTTATTATAATATAAAACCTTCTAATAAAATTAGTTGTTTATTAAAATAAGTTGTCGGTTCACAATTAACAAACTTTTTATATGATTTGTACAAAAAATAAGCATTGAGATAACAATTTATTTAAAAATTGATATTTAGGACTTTCAATACCTAATTATTAATACACATCAAAAAGCATAAATATCCAAATTGATGATTCTATTTATATCTCCTTGAGAATACACATACCGTAAAAGTCGGACATAAATACTCCATGGGATGTATCCCTCGCCATTTTTAAAGACCAGATTGGGATTTATATCCAGGCATTAGATACAGGAGAGCATTGTACAGCATAATTTTTATAAGACAAATTCGAAGAAAAATAGCGTACAAAAATCCAATCAACAAGCCGTTATGTTTAACCTTAGAGTTGTTGTCCTATTCAAGAAGATTGGATTTTTGAAAGCAACTTAGAGATCGTTCAGCCTGACATGAGTATCCCTATTAATACAGTATACCCCCTCTATAGAAATACACTGGGAACGTATGTTCAACTTTTATGGTACTTTCACAAAGATTAAAAATAAGAAAAAATCTGTTAACTTAGAAGAGATGAATTCCAAAAATTACAAAATATTTCACAAGACTGAGGGAAAATATTTAAATATTAACCAGTTTCTTTTGACTTGTTGCATCTTAAAATACTAAATATTTATATAAGAATCTTTAACATTATCAGGATCTTTTTGTTTTCTCAATGAATATTAACAGAAAAATGTGTTTATATATTAATTAGTATCAAATCTATAGTTACAAATTTTAATAAATTTTTCAATTTTATATTAATAAAACAATAAACAGAAATTATATAATTTTAAAATGTCAACTAAATTTAATTTTTTCCAGTATAAATAGAATTCTAGAACTTTTTAAACTAATGCTAATATATAAGTTATATTGTTACCGGGAGATAACAAATTTCATTGATCTCGTGATTTCTGGAGAGGCTCGCTCATCTCGATTTCAATAATTTACTTCATCTATTAGAGCCTCCGATTTTAGATCCACTTCTGTTTTACTTTTCCATAATAGTAATTCGTTGTGTTATTTGCTTTTTCTCTTCATCTTTCACTTTCAAATTTGCTTTTGCTAATCACCTATTTTTCGCCTCCAAGTTCACTTTTATTTATCATCCATTTTTCGCTTTCGAATTTGCTTTTGTTTATCATCCATTTTTCGCTTCCAAATTCACTTTTTTATCATTTGTTTTTCGCTTTCAAATTCACCTTTCAACATAATAGTGATGATAATAATTTTACTTTTACAATTCGCTTTTCCTTTTCACTTTTCATTTCGTGTTTGTTTCCCATCCATAGCATTCTCAATTTTATTTCTAATAATAATATAATAATGTAAACAGAGCTGGAACATTAACATAATATGCAATAAGCAAATATATATAAAGGCCCTCAAAATATCAATAAAAGACAGAATTAAATTGCGCACAATTCTTCTCCAAGTAAATTAGACTGTAAAATTGGTGTAATTAATTTTGATTAGGTCCTTTGATCCAGAAAAGGCATTGATATCGTGAAAACGGCATATTGATTGATTATAAAGCGCTTTATGTAGAATAGTTTAAGGCTTTTAGCTAGAAAAAGCAAATCGTTGTTAATTGAATATCTCCTCTTTTTTCTTTTGCTGCAGATTCATCAATATTTTTAACATCGTGGCGATATCGCATTTATTTGAAGGACATATTTTCAATAGTCTTGCTAAATGATATTTTCTGCGTATTTCTATGACCCAAATTTTTTTCATTTATAAATTCATTGTATTCTGCAAATTCACAATCAAAACTAAAAATCACCTCCAATTGCATTCATGCTATCTGAACTAAAAGCAGGTCACAGAAATATCGTATATTCAATGGTTTATACTATACCATCAGAATATTTTTTTGTTTCCGTATTAATTCATTGCATGTTATGTACTTAAATATTCAGTCCGAAGTACAAAGGAAGTCGATACAACTCCCCCCCAATAACTAATAAATCGACAGATCCACTATAACAGACAAAATTTAAATAATGCTGGTTCCAAAAAGTAGTCCGTTTCACTGTGTATGTATTATCGTTATCTATTTTGATTCATATTTTAACTAAAGATATTTTATTTCGATTATAACAAAACTTTGCACTGATAGGTTTTTGTGCACACAGTTATCGATCCATTTAATAAGAAGATTTTAATGAAATCATTGAAAATTAATGTGAATCTGGTAACAAGGTATTGTATTAATAATAAATATCGCAATTACTAACTGGGAAAATTTTGAAAATATAAATATTATACTAAACTCAG